GAATGTTCATGTCGAATAACCTTAATTGTAAACCCTACATAAAGATTTGGAATGTACGCTATATTGTGAGAAAAGTAGTTTGGCTCTCGATGCTGGTGGGGCCAGTTCAGCTTACATTCAAACATTGGTTCACATCTTTTCTTGACCGAATTTCAACACTTGGGTGATTTGGGACCTGGGAATTTTAATGATGATGGAAGCAGAACTTCAATATAAATTTGGATTCTAAGTTCAATTTTAGGTTTGGATGCATGTTTCGAAGACTCTAGATAACGAGAGTTNTGGAAGCAGAACTTCAATATAAATTTGGATTATAAGTTCAATTTTAGGTTTGGATGCATGTTTCGAAGACTCTAGATAACGAGAGTTGTAAATCACTGACTTTGCGAGGCAATGTCAAGCATAGAGAGATGCTCAATTGCTTCGATTTTAATATTGTTTGATACCTTAGTATAATGTAGATTACCTAATGAAGTGGTTATTTAGTCATTTTTTTGTTGTTTTTCNTTGTAAATCACTGACTTTGCGAGGCAATGTCAAGCATAGAGAGATGCTCAATTGCTTTGATTTTAATATTGTTTGATACCTTAGTATAATGTGGATTACCTAATGAAGTGGTTATTTAGTCATTTTTTTGTTGTTTTTTGTTTTTTTAGAGGGGAGGTCTTCTTACGGGAGACATGTGATATACTGTCTTTATTGTTTCACAGCTTTTGAAGTCGAAACAACTTGGTGATTGTGGAATAATTTGGTTCCAATGGATGCTAACCTTGTGGTTTGGTCTTGATACGTGCTTGTGGCTTGCTTGTTTTCAAGACCATCCTCAATAGGGCATTTTCTTGTGGATTGATTTCCTCTAAGTATATGATCATGTGATACTATGTTTTTGTGCTGTCTTATAGCTTCCGTACTTTTCAATGTTTGTAATATTCATTCGTCCCTTTTCCGTCATGTACAANGTGATTGTGGAATAATTTGGTTCCAATGGATGCTAACCTTGTGGTTTGGTCTTGATAAGTGCTTGTGGCTTGCTTGTTTTCAAGACCATCCTCAATAGGGCATTTTCTTGTGGATTGATTTCCTCTATGTATATGATCATGTGATACTATGTTTTTGTGGTCTGTCTTATAGTTTCCATACTTTTCAATGTTTGTAATATTCATTCGTCCCTTTTCCGTCATGTACAATGTGTTGTACATTACAAAAAGCAATAGGAGAGATTATTCCACACTCCCCAGCAATTTAAGCACAAGAAGTCCCCAAATTGCCTTATTGTTGATGAGGCTACAAATGGTGATAATTCCACGGTCTCTAGGGGTGGAACTTTGGCGGGTTTACTTGAATCCAAGAAGAAAAATTCAATATTTTGAGTTCAAATTTCTAAGACTCGGCNATTGCCTTATTGTTGATGAGGCTACAAATGGTGATAATTCCACGGTCTCTAGGGGTGCAACTTTGGCGGGTTTACCTGAATCCAAGAAGAAAAATTCAATATTTTGAGTTCAAATTTCTAAGACTCGGTCTGGACTTTGGAAAAAAAATCAAAGGTCCATTTAAATTTGGCCAGGTTTATGTTGTTACTCTATATGAGTATCGCTTGAATTTAAGAAAGGCCACTAGGTTTAGGGCACATTTTTGGACTCTCAGTTCTCTTAATCACTCTCACAATTGCCCTCTAAGTCTCTCTCATCTTAGTCTAGCACTCTAGCCTCCAACATGAGTCCTTTTTCTTTAGAGTCAGAGTCCCTTATTTTAATCCAGCTTCTTTTCTCTCTCTTATTCTGATTTAGTGTCTCTTTCACACTTTCAAGTCACTGTCTTACTCTCTTATTTCNCATCTTAGTCTAGCACTCTAGCCTCCAACATGAGTCCTTTTTCTTTAGAGTCAGAGTACCTTATTTTAATCCAGCTTCTTTTCTCTCTCTTATTCTGATTTAGAGTCTCTTTCACACTTTCAAGTCACTGTCTTACTCTCTTATTTCCAACTCTCATTTTGACAAGGGGCAAAATTTAATTCATTTGACCTGTGAGAAAAAAGATGAGTTTTTTTGGCAGCCCACACTTAAAATTTATGGACTTTTGTTGTTTTGGTCTATTCCATGATCAAAATATACATATCTTTTCATCCGAAATTGATAAGTTTATCTACTTACTGTCATCCCTTGCATAACCTTTTCTACAAGACTATGGTGTTATTTGAAATTATGCCGAGATGATGAACTAATCCATATCTATATGCTGTTGTTGGAGCTGAACAAAAAAAATCAAATTTTCTTGCAGAGATGTCAATTCACATGTGAGTTTTGTATGATAGGCGTCAATGTGCATATTAGGATAGGTGGCATTGAGGTGGTGGCAGATTTGGAAATTAAAGAACACTATTGATCTGGACATTGAAACAAAGTGTGGAATGGACAATGTTGTCGACAAAAAGTGCGCCAAGTTGCCTTGAGGCCTTGGCACAATGCGAAGCTCGTACTTCCTTGAAATGAGGCACATGTTGTGGATAATTTGTGAAAATTATTGATTATACTACAAATATAACTGAATGCAACAAATTTGACAAGATATCTGGCTTTTAAAAATTATACAATCATACAACGACAACATATACGACTCGATTTAGCTAATTTCATGAGCGTAGAAGAAATTACAGCGTCATTTTTCCACCAAAATTACTCATCTCTTAATATTAAATTTCACTGGCCTACAATGAATGTCACAAATATTTTGCAAAATACAACTACTTTAAGAATTATTAGTATCCTTAACCTATTTCAACATTCTTATTTATGCTTGAAGTTAGATTAGACTAGATATGCAAATTTCAGTAGCATTTGAAGTTAGAATTCTATATTTATACTTATAGTTCAAATTTGCATTCTGCATACCAAATATTCCAATCAAAGTTAATATATAAATGACCCTCGTGTGCCTCCATTGCGTTTGAGCAAAATTGCCTTGCCATATGCTCATTAAAGCGCTTAAGGTGTGCATCACCTTGATGCGAGCCTCGATGAGTGTCTAGGTGCTCTTTTCACAACCCTGGCATGGGGATTACTGCATTGTTTCTTATGTCTATTCATGTAAGAACAGTGATAATCATCAGTTTTGTTTGTGATTTTTTGATTGTGTTGTTTTTTGAGTACCAAATTTGATAATCAATTAAGTTTATTTTTTAATTCCTCAATTTATGAAAGATAATTACCATGTTTGAGAGAGACTAATTGTAGGTTGCGACTATTGAACATTGATNATTTATGAAAGATAATTACCATGTTTGAGAGAGACTAATTGTAGGTTGCGACTATTGAACATTGATATTTTTTCAATTAGAATTATCAATTAGACAAGTGATGCATTTTGGAAAATGCAAAAAGTATTCCTATAACGATATTTAGTGCTTAGTGGCCTAGATGTTACTGCATTGGCTTTTAGAATTGGAATCCTGAATGCAATATATCTTTGTTTAGAGAGGATGAACCAGATAAGCTGTGATAAGCAGATAATGAGATTAGACAAGTCTATATACTGCTATATCTCGCAGCTACTAGGAAATCTTTGATCTTGCTTCAGTTTTATTTGCTACTAACATCAATTATAATTTTGATCGGTTTAATTCCTACATGTCAGGCATACATTCTACATGTCAAGCATAGGAGAGACGGATGAAGCACTTGCTACTGCTACTGATACAGAGGCAAACTCAGTAAGTTTCAAACACCGAAAACCTTGTAAATCAAAATATTCTACGTGGGACCATTTCACAAAAATTGAAAAAGAAAAGGAGGTTGAAGACGAGCAGGAAACGTGCAACTTTGAACAAGAAACTTTTCTCAAAGAGCTTGCTCAGATGATTATCATTAGTGACTTGCCTTTTAGTTTTGTCGAGAGAGAGGGATTTAAAAGATTGCTGAGTGTATTGCAGCCGCAGTCTCAGTTGGTTTCATGAACCACTTTGATTAAAGATTGCATTAGTATTTATGCCGAGGAGAAAAATAAATTGAAACCCATTTTGAATCCTTGACCTCATGTGTTTCTCTCTCCCTTGATTTTTGGTCTTCCATCCAAGACCTTGATTATATGTGTCTTACAGCGCATTACATTGATGAAGACTGGAAGTTGCATAAAAAAATTATTAACCTTCGTGTGCTTCCGACCCCACATCATGGTAAGCTTGTTGCGCAAGATGTGGAGACATGCTTGTTGGGATGGGGAATTACAAAAATCACTACATTGACTGTAGACAATACAAGTTCTAATAATATACATGCTCTATCTTTGAAAAAGAGATTGAGCAAGTATACTGGGTTGTTGGATGGTGATTTGTTTCATGTGATGTGTTTTGGGCATGTCTTGAATTTAATAGCGAGGGATTGGATTGACGGAGTGGATAGTGCAATTGGTCGAATTCGAGACAGTGTGAAATATGTTATGAGTTCTCCTTCTTGCTATCAATTGTTTAAGGAATGTGTGGAAGTCGAGAAAATTTCGTATAAGAAATCTGTTTGTTTGGACGTGCCAACACAATGGGATTCCACTTTTGCCATGCTAGACACTGCACTTAAGTATCAAAAGGCATTTGAGCGATTGGAGGAGCACAATAGGAGTTTTGTACTGGAACTTGAGAAGGGACCTCCTAGTGAAGGGGATTGGTTGATAGCAAAGAATTTGCACAGAGTTTTAGGACTATTTTACACAGCCATAAAGCGTGTATCTGGGTCTGGCTATGTTACTGTGGACACTTACTTTCGTGAAGTGGTAATGATCAAAAGTATGTTACATACATACTCCAGTAGTGACAATGTGTTCCTTTGTGTTATGGCGAAAAAAAATGAACAACTTTGGTAAGTATTGCAACATTGACAAAATTAATCCATTGTTGATCATTGCAATAGTATTAGATCCTTACTACAAGTTGAAGTATGTAAGATATTCCCTTTTAAAAATTTATCCTAGTAGCAAGGTTGATGAGTTTATTGAAAAACGTAAAAGAGGTGATGGATCGCCTATTCCAATACTACTCATCATCGCAGTTGGCTTTATTGAATAGTGTTGAATTACCAAAAGGTGATGTTGAAATGGATGATCCAAATGATATTATGTATGAGCATAACAAGGACTGGTTTAAGTTCTTAGAAATTGAGGAAACCAAGGCCATTAAGTCAGAGCTAGACCGATACTTACAAGATGCCATTGAGGTTAGGGAAGATAAACAAACTTTTGACATTTTGAATTGGTGGAGAGAAAGAAGTTCTTCGTATCGCGTACTCTCTCAAATGGTGCGTGACATTTTGGCAATTCCTATATCAACTATGGCTAAGGAATCCACTTGTTGTATGGGAGGTCGAAAACTTGGTCAATTTCATAGTTCTTTGACTCCAAAGATTCTTGAGTGTTTCATCTGTGCCCAAGACTGGCTGAGGAGTGGTTCATCTTCAATTGATATACAAGAAAAGCTAGAGGATATGGAAGATATAGAGGAAGGTATAATTTACAACTTTTTTACCCCATTTTCTATTTGCTTATAAACATTTTTGAAGTTCGTCCACTTCTCCCTTTTGCAGTTTTGGTGGATGAGTGTTGCACAACTTTCAATGTAGGAGATACACCCGCGGTTGTTAGTGCCTAAATATAGCTGTGGATTTAGTTCTGTATTTTGTTAATGGGTTAGTTTGCTGCTGTTATGGTTAGTGCTTGCTGCTGATCCTGCTGGATGCATGTATTTTATTACTCTTNACCCGCGGTTGTTAGTGCCTAAATATAGCTGTGGATTTAGTTCTGTATTTTGTTAATGGGTTAGTTTACTGCTGTTATGGTTAGTGCTTGCTGCTGATCCTGCTGGATGCATGTATTTTATAACTCTAGTTGCTGTTGGATTTAGTTACTGGATGGCTGGATTTGGCTGCTGTTGCTGAATGTTTTGACCATTGATGAAGCACTACTGTGATGCACTGTGGCTGGCATGACTGTCATGATATTAAGTTTATTTGCAATTTCACATTCTGTTAGCAATTATCTGACAGCAATTAGTCCAGTGTTGAATTATTATTTTTTACTTTGGTATGTATGGATAGTTTTATTGTTTGTATTTGAGCTGATTTTGGGCTTTCGGTTAGCCATGTGCTGTGGCTGTCATGGCTGGTATGTCTTTCTAAGTTTGTTAGTAACTGTTGGGTGCTTTCCTGTAGCTTTTTGAGATAACACTGAAACTCCTAAAAGTGTTTCAAAGGCTGAAGCCTGAAGAAAGGAATTATTCTGCTTTTCTCAGCTATGTATTGGATTCAGTTTAGGCATTCTGTCAGCCATGTGCTGTGGCTGTCACGCTGGTATGTCTATATGAATGTGTTAGCAACTGTTGGGAGGCGCCTAGTGCCTGCAGCTTTTTGAAGATAAAATTGAAACAACTAAGCTGTTTCAAAGGCTGAAGAGATGTCTTATCGAAAAAAAAAAGCCTGAAGAGATGAATTATTCTGTTGTAATGAGCTTGGTTGTGTTATTACATACTTGATGAAGACTGGCTGTTTCACTCTCACTTTTGTTCTTGACTCCCTNCGCCTAGTGCCTGCAGCTTTTTGAAGATAAAATTGAAACAACTAAGCTGTTTCAAAGCCTGAAGAGATGTCTTATCGAAAAAAAAAGCCTGAAGAGATGAATTATTCTGCTGTAATGAGCTTGGTTGTGTTATTACATACTTGATGAAGACTGGCTGTTTCACCCTCACTTTTGTTCTTGACTCCCCNAAAAAAAAAAGCCTGAAGAGATGAATTATTCTGTTGTAATGAGCTTGGTTGTGTTATTACATACTTGATGAAGACTGGCTGTTTCACTCTCACTTTTGTTCTTGACTCCCTGCATCTGTAAGACTAATGACCTGAAATTTTTTGCCATTGTATTCTTGGCTGCAGCACTTGAAAGTTAATAGTGGATGCATATTCCTAGAGTAGCCACTTTTTTTCTTTGCCAGATTATGGTCTCAACCCAAGAAGTGAACTCCAATTTGCGTCCTGAAAATTGAATGTAATTGTTAGCACAAGTTGTGTANAATTTTTTGCCATTGTATTCTTGGCTGCAGCACTTGAAAGTTAATAGTGGATGCATATTCCTAGAGTAGCCACTTTTTTTTCTTTGCCAGATTATGGTCTCAACCCAAGAAGTGAACTCCAATTTGCGTCCTGAAAATTGAATGTGATTGTTAGCACAAGTTGTGTAACACGAGTTCAACAAAAATATAACCATGGGCAGTACTTGTATTGAGTTCGGATTGAGGGTTTTATAACTTGGGTTTATTTTGGGTTGACCTCTTAACCCTCTCGAATGGCAACCGTAATTGTCTCCATGCACCCTGCTAAATGGGAGCAGTTCAGCTCTTTTGAGGAGACAGTTTTAATTGACGTGATACTCCTCTCTGAGTTTCGTAAGTAGATTCCTTATCAAAAAGATTTTTTCCCTTTGCTTCCAGTAAGTAGGGTTTTTACAAAGATTTTGTTTGTGATTTAGAGGAAGAGATGGTTGGAATTGTTCTAGGTGATGAACATGTGAAGATTCAAAACCAGCATGCACTAATGTCGGTCAAGCTAATCTTACGGCACGGCAGGCCTTGGAGATGTAGAGGTACACCAGTTTCCTGCTATGNATGAACATGTGAAGATTCAAAACCAGCATGCACTAATGTCGGTCAAGCTAATCTTACAGCACGGCAGGCCTTGGAGATGTAGAGGTACACCGGTTTCCTGCTATAAGTAGGGGAAGCTATTTCACATCCTTCCAATTGATGACACAATTGAAGCTCTGANCGGTTTCCTGCTATAAGTAGGGGAAGCTATTTCACATCCTTCCAATTGATGACACAATTGAAGCTCTGACAAGCAACAACCTATTTGATGTGAATTTGAAGCATAAGCACACTGTCTCGATTATTCTTATTTTTATTCATCTCTTTACTTACTGCATTTATTGGTTTTGAATGCAACTTTGATGAATCTTATTATTTCTTCCTGGCATTACAGCTTATTTCTTGGAATCTTATTGACCTTTGGGGAAAGGGCGACTTTTCCATGCTAACAGTGAAAAATAAAGTGTGGAATTTAAAGTAGTTGAGACAGACCACAGTGACTATTGTGTTGTTGCACCTGATGCAGATATTTTGTGTGGGAGACCCATCAAACATGAAGAGGAGAGATTGAGTGAAGTTGGCTATGATGGCCATGGTGGCATAAGAAGCAAATGGCTCAGATCCTTGAGTCTGTAGAACTTCCTCTGAGAGCTTTTTGGGCCTGGGTAGTCTTACTGGAAGAGCTTTAGCTGTTTAATGAGACAGTTGGTTTCGTCTTCTGATATATATTCTACAAATAATGTCAAAGTTGGCTGGTGAAAGTGAAAGCAATTTTAGGGAAGGCATTTTATGAAGCCAAAAGAATGCCACATCAATCATTGAGATAGATTGATTCCATTGCTCCAAGGAGGGAAAATGCATGGGGAGGTTGAGAGGCATAATATATCCCATCTTCTCATGTTAATGGACGCCCTTGTGTCTGGATNATGGGGAGGTTGAGAGGCATAATATATCCCATCTTCTCATGTTAATGGACGCCCTTGTGTCTGGATCTCACTACAATCACGGGGGCTACTAAAGGTCCAATAGCATTGACCCTGCTCAGAGAAAATTTGAGAGATTTGATCAAGAGATTGACATTGGTGTATCAGATGAGATGGGGAGGTTCGAAGTTCTCTGAATTCATACAAAAGAAATGAAACTTGCTGAANCATTCAATCGAGTTTGGACAATTTCATTTAAACGGACTGAGCATATTGAAAGACATCAAGGAGCTGGTGATGTTTCTGATGCAAGATTTGATCAAGAGATTGACATTGGTGTATCAGATGAGATGGGGAGGTTTGAAGTTCTCTGAAGAAATGAAACTTGCTGAGTGTGTGAGATTCTGCACCCCCATCCCATTTACAACATGTTTCATTGATATCAATCCAACTATCCCTCGGTCACATCTTGTTATTGATATTCTTCTTCGAGTTGATCTTGAAAGAGTTGGAAAAGATACCCACTGTTATGTCGATGCAGATATTGCTGCCCTATGCACCAAGGCTTCTCTTGGTTGTATCAGAGAGGAAGTCGATGTGATTGGCTTAGAGNCAACTATCCCTCGGTCACATCTTGTTATTGATATTCTTCTTCGAGTTGATCTTGAAAACGTTGGAAAAGATACCCACTGTTATGTTGATGCAGATATTGCTGCCCTATGCACCAAGGTTTTTCTTGGTTGTATCAGGGAGGAAGTCGATGTGATTGGCTTAGAAGATCAGATGAATGATGCTGAAGCATTAAATTCCATGGCTGTGATTAAAGAGTACGTCCAAACTGCATTGGATGCTTCAAATCCATTGGCCTTACGCGAAACAGGTAGTCTCTATGAATGTCTAGTTCTGATATTAGGTTGTCATTTGTTTTCTCGGAAATCACTCTGGCAGAGCTCTCTCTCCCTCCCTCCTCCCACCCCCTCTACACATACACAGAGTTTGGCTGGCAATAGAACGTTCAATAGATCAATGATCATTTCTACACACCAATATTTTCTTTGAGATTGTTAAGGTCTCTGTTGCGGTGATGGAATATGGTTTTTGAGAAATTAGGATTCCTTTGCTGCTTGACTGCAGAGGCCGTAATTTTTCTTCGTACTTGTTCATAAGATTTTGTGGTATTATCTCCAGAACATTAGTGGACATGAGTTTTGGTTCGCTTGTTGTGGAGGTTCCCAAGGCCTCCAGGGAGGATATTGGTGGGTTGGACGATGAATATATTGCACTTTAATGTTAAAGTGAATCAAATTTAATTCTGCAATAGACTATTAATGTTTAAATATTTTGGCATGTCATCTTCCACAGGGGTTGTTTTTTATGGGCCTCCTGGCTAAGGCCAAACCTTACTTTTCAATGCTATTATTGCTAATGAATGCCAAGCCAACTTTGTTAGTGTCAAGTGACCTGAACAATGTGGTTTGGAGAAAGGAAGGCAAACGTTTGGGAGATATTTGAAAAGGCATGCTAGTCAGCTCCATGTGTACTTTTATATGAGCTTGATTCCATTGCAACTGAGGTACTCATCTAGATTTGATCCGCAAGTTTGAATTAATGCTATTTGGATTGTGGGTCGCTTTGGTACGTGATACGAGTACGGATATGTAGGGCGACAGTTTCTTTGGTACACGGTACAATGAGAGTAAATTTAACTGGTTGGTACGATATTTAGGGTCGCAATTTGTTTTGGGACTTTTACTTAAATCGTTTTCACTATTATACAATATTATATATTATAGAATATGTATAAATATTAAGTCAATTACCATTTATGCTTGATTTTTTATTATCTAAAAAATATATAATTATAAATTTATATACACATAGTCAATTAATATGTATTTTATATTAATATTACATGTTTCAAAGCGAATTGATTAAGTTCAGTAGTACAATTTGAAGTTGTATATTTTGGTAATTTGAATCACGAATCATTCCGTTTGGAATCGATGTACTCGAATTGTGGGTCGTTAGGGATTTAGTGCATTATGGTAACTATGGTTTGAATGCATCCCAAGTCATAGAGCTACAACCTTGATTCTCACTTATTTCTTGTTCCACACTGTTGTTCACATTCACATTAATGACAATTCTATCTCTTTCTCTTTTCCTGATCCCCCTATCACAATTTTCAGCGTGGTTGTTCATTAGGAGATGCTGATGGTACAGCAGATAAGAGCTTGGACACAAAATGGATGGAATGAGAGCAAATAAAACAGTTTTTCTTATGGGGGCAGAAACAGCCCAGACATTATGCCTCTTCCGCTTCAAGGTTATGGTAAGTTCATCGGTAACAACTTTTTGATTAAGTACTATTGTTTCTTCTTCTGTTCTGTTTTATTTTACAGAAAGAACATGAAAACTTGTTCTTTCTTAAGTCAAAGCCTCTGAGCTCTAACTGGCTTTGCTTTGACACCGGATCATGGGACAAGAATCCAAGAATAATTCTTGGGACACATCCATTTAAATTTCTAGAAAATTCGTATGCCATAATAGCATAGGAGGGATTTTTCAAAGAGTGATCATTCTTCTCCCCCCAAATCAGTGATTGTTACTCCTGGATCATGTTTAGTTGTTACACGTAGATGGGGCAGCTTTGAACATCAATGTTAGGGATAGTACCATTCTTCCTTGATTGGTGAAAAAATAAGAGATACAATTGCTCGACCCCGATTCTAATTGTCAAGACCACCAAAACTTCACTTAGTTACCAGCTGGAAAAAAACCCAAAAGTACCAAAATCAACTTTCCAGGATTCTTTCAGGGTTTGGAAACACAAATTTTCTGACCTCATTTCCCTATCTTCCTAACTTTCTATATTATGGATCTGATGGCGTAATATTCATTACAATAGTGATGTCATTTTATCGCTAATATGTGATATGGCAATCCAGTAATGAGTTATCACATATGCATGGTGTACTTTACACATGTATTTTTGAGGTGACACTATAATTGTTCCATGTGCATATGTTGCACAACATGCATTGATAATTTCTTGCTATTGAGTCGAGATATCACATGATAGTAACGATGTGATATCACTTTACTCAACCTTTATAACTAGGGCTTGCAATGGGCAATGCCATGTTTAAGTTGTGTTTGTTTCCAAATATGTTTAACAAATATTTGACCCATATAAAAATCGGATTTGTGTTGTGCATAAGATGTGTTTAGCGAGTTCGTGTATTGTTTATTTGGGATTGTGTTGACTCGTTTATTTGACGGGTCTCATAGGTTCATCTATTTACTATTTTAAGGCCAGACCAGTGGATCTCAGATCATATCTCATCATGTGGGTTATATTGATCAGCAACGGTGTGTACTTTGTGCTTATTTGCATGTGCGTCACGTGAGTCCAAACCAAGGGTGACAGAATCATTATTTGTCTCCTACATATGTCGCGGAACAATCTATAGCCAAGTTATTGTGATTAAAAAATTAAAATTTAAGTTGTAATATAAGTTATCGGATCAAAACGAAAAAAAAGAAAAGAAAAGGTGCTTTACATGGAGATACAGGTCGTACTTTCCCACAATGAACAAATGCATTAAAGTTTTGGTTATGGCTATTGTTAGAGCAGTATTGGTCTTTCATGCCAAGGTTTTCTTCTTGTATATGTGAATAGTGAAGAATATATTCAATGAATCACACCATTGCTCTCTCAAATTGTATGCACACAGCAGTTCGTTGTCTCAAATTGATTATAAGAGTTTTATGTGTTTTTGTGCTTGTGCACGATGATGGATTTAGAGGACAGATAGGAGTGATCGTATCATTTGATATGAATACTTCAAACCTATAGGCTCGCATTCCCTAGATTTTTTAAACCAATATAAAAGTTGACTTTCTATAAATTCTCACTCTGCCTAGACTAAATTCTTGTACTAGTACATTCTTATGGATGAATATCCCCAATTATTTAGGCTCCTCCACTTAGTTTTCTTTTAAAAAAAAAATTAAAAGCTAACGTTATTTACACATTTGCCACCTAACTAATTCTTGTATTAGTCCCTTGTTGTGAAAATCTTTAGTGGTATTCAATCTCATATTAAAATTTATATGATATACTTACATATGTGCATATGTTACTTTATACGATGAAAGGTTAGAGGAAGGGAATAAGAACCCCCCCAAAAAAAAAGTTAAAAATATGTGCTTATGAAAAAAAAAATAGGTTAATAGTATTTTTGGTATCTAAAGTATGTTTGTTTTGTCAATTTGGTTATTAATATATTAATTTTTTCAATTTTGTATCTAAAGTATTCAATTCATGTTTAAATGATTCTTAAATATACAGGTCGTTAAGTTTTTGGTGAAAATGATCACGTGATATCGTTTGAAAGAATAATATCTGGTTATTTTTGGCAAAAAAATTAATAGTCAATCTATGTGGGGACAATTTAAACAATAATTGAAAACTTGAGGGATTAAATTGACAAAATTGATACATTGAAGACTAAATTAACAAAACTATACTATTAACCCTTAAAAAATTATTACCAAACAACAACATACCTTCTTAAACATACCGGTGTCTCTGAAAGGTAATATCAAGTTAAGAGACAAATTTATTGTTGCTTATAAGGACATGGTTTGCTTGTGACAGGAATGTGTAAAAAGCTGTGTCGTTGCACGTCAAAATTGGCCATTTCTGCAAAACCTTTTGGATGTTTTGCTGTATGTATCTCTATCACATGGTGGGGTGGGGGGGGGGGGGTCCTATGTAGTTGTATGAAGTGAAAGAATTGCTTCTTTCTTATCCTTGGACAATTATGCAGGGAGAAGGGAGATATTAGAGGAAGAGAGGGGGTCACATAATCAATCATTGCCCACAGTTTCCCACAACCACACATCCCCCCAACCTTCTCTCTCTGTTTCTCTGAGGAGAGAGAAAACCCTCCTCGAAAAACTTTTTTAAACTTCACTAACATATAATAAAGTTTGGGAGAGCGCTATTTGCAATGTCCTTTTCAAACAAAACAGTCGCAATATTGTAAACATATCCTTTAGTGTCCGGTTATGATACTTAAATATAAATTCGGTATTGCATTTTTATTTTTCATTGTCTCAAGTTTTTTTTTTCCTGATCAATAGTTAGTAATTATCCAAATCAAAATCTACCGTTGTGATCAAATTTGGAATGTTGAAGTTGAAAAACGGAGTGCGAATAACATTTTTTTTACATTAAAAGTTTTGAAATTTGGACAAGCATTCTAATTTCAAGAAATATATCACCTTATTTAGGATGAAAACTTTGCATTTACATATATGATGCAAGTAATAGAAATTGATAATGTTCTCATCAAATGATTTGTTTCAAGGTATAATTTAGATTTCCTTTATGATTTATTATTCGGGTATACAGATTTTACTGTTCTTTAATAACAGTTTGATTCATAAAATGACTTATACACTAGGAACAATAATGTTACGTTGTTATACACTCACTAAACCCGTCTTGTTGTCCAGTTAACTGAAACAATCGCACTCCGATTACAAGTCTAGATAAATTGTAGGTAATTTTACTTGTAATTGGAATAAGCTTTTTTTGTTGCTTAGATGAATGAATACTTGATATTGCCTTAGATCCAACCTCTCAAGCTAACTAAAACCACTTCCTATTTCTTTACAGTGACACTCTAGCATTGTACCCCTATACTGAATACCTCCTCATTGCACCATACGAACATTATTGATTCCTAGGAGAGTAACTAGCTGAAGAAGAGGAGTAAGCAAGAGAACAATTAGATGAACCTTGGAGGAGCAGCAATTGAGCAGGGGTTACTGATGAGGACGAGTACGACGGAACTTCAGAATTTTTTGAACAATTGTTGGCAGGCTTGTGAGCCTCGGTTCCTGTGGCGGCCTCGTGTCGAATCTCTCTCAATAATGCCACAACATCCTTCATCGTCGGGCGATCTACTACACGGTTGCTAGTGCAGAGTAGGGATATTCCGAGTGCTTGTAGCATTTCTTGAATTTGTGTATCAGGATGGCCTTGGAGCTTTGGATCAACGATGTCAACCGGGTCTTTCTTGCTTCTCAGGTGATCGCGAACCCATTGAATAACGTGTTGTCCATCGGGGAACGATTGATCGACCGGTTTCTTCCCGGTGATGATCTCTAATAGAACTACTCCATAACTATAGACATCACTCTTTTCGGTGATTTTTAGCGAGCAAGCGCATTCTACAATTGACAATTGCAGGTTAGACATTTTTATGCTATGAAGGGTAGCACAAAGGATAGTGTTATAATTTGAAGCAAAGCTATAGAAAAGGAAGGAAAATTCACCTGGTGCCATGTAGCCATAAGAACCAGCAAACTGTGGGTTTGCTGAAAATGAACCATTTTCATCCTCGACAAGCCTAGCAAGCCCAAAATCTGCCAAACATGGTTCGTATCGATCCCCGAGCAAAATGTTGTGGGCTTTCACATCCCGGTGGAGGATCGGTGGCACGCAGTCGTGGTGCAAGTAAGCCAAGCCCTCTGCAACGCCTAATGCAATCTTAAATCGTGTCTCCCACTCCAATAGACCTCCGCAACTTTCATGTAACAATTCCCCTAATGTCCCATTAGGCAAATAATCATAAAACAATAGCTTAGTCTTTCTATTGGCACCCCAACCCAATAATCGAACAATGTTCCGGTGTCTAATCCTTGCTAACGTGGCAATCTCCGATGAAAATGCCGATGCCGAGAACTTCTCCGACGCCTTGAATCTCTTAACGGCAATTATCAATCCGGATGAAATATTTGTCCGATAGACAATGCCTGAACGACCACACCCAATCACATTACTGGGTGTCAAGCATTTTGCCACGTCAACAATTGATAAGTCGAGCTTTTGGTACAACGTGACCTCCCACGCTGGACCCATCTCCACGTCATCCTCCCCGTCTAGATGACGCTCGAGGGACCTATGGTCCCGTATCTTTCCTCCAATGATGATGTAAAGCGCAGCTAGTAGTAGTGCACATGCGGCACAGAGGAGCACCACCATCGCCAGCCTCGCTGCCTTGCTATGCCTGGTGTCTCCACCACCGTTGGTGGGGCACTGCTTGCCTGAAAAGCATAACTCCGGATTGCCAGCTCGATCGCTGATTGGCAGTTTTGCAAAGAATGAGGTGTCAGGCAGGTGACCCGAGAAATTGTTGTACGATATATTGAGCACCACGAGATTCTGAAGGTCCGCGAGAAAATGAAGGTCACCAGAGAGTTGATTGTGAGAGAGGTCCAAAACTCCGAGCTTGTCCAATGCCGTGAACTCCGCCGGAATTGCGCCTGAGAGACTATTCCAGCTGAGATTCAGAGCAATTTCCAATGCTGGAATATTACCCACACTCGCCGGAATCTGACCGGAAAGTTCATTGCTACTCAAATCAAGTAACTGAAGCTTCGAACATGAACCGAGTTGAGTTGGAATTTGGCCGGAAAACTTGTTCTTCCCGAGGATGAGTTTAGTGAGAGAACTCAGTGAGCCGAGATTCGGACTCAACGTACCTTCAATCTGATTGTCTGAGAAATCAACGAATTGGAGGGAAACAAGCTGATTCAAATTCTCCGGCAAGCTACCGGCAATTGAATTCGAATGAAGATCCAAAAATGTGAGATTCCGGCATCCGGAGATCTCCACCGGTATGATTCCGGTGAGCCGGTTCGATCCGAGATCCAGAAAGTTCAAATTCTTCAAATTACCAATCTCTGGCGGAATCGATCCAGTCAGCTTGTTGTCACTGGCTCTGAATCGAATCAACGAAGAGCACAGTCCGATCTCCGGCGCAATTTCGCCGGACAAATTGTTTGACAACAACAACAACTTGTTTAACTTCTGTAACTCGAATATACCTTTTGGAATCGGGCCTGTTAGTGAATTCTGCGACAGATCAATGGCCTCGAGGCTTTGACAGGACGACAATGAAGGAGGAATATCCCCTTCCAGACGATTCTGCCACAAGAACAACATCGTCAGATTCGTTAATTTTCCGAATTCCGATGGAATTGTACCGGTGATTTGATTGTTGTCAAGCTCGATGTGATTGAGACTAGGACAATTTCCAAGCTGTGTTGGGATTGGACCCGAGATTTGATTGACGCTCAACTGAAATTCTTGCAATGACGTCAAATTCCCAAATGTGGTGGGAATGGAGCCAGTCAATGAATTCATTGATATATCAATGAGAAGAAGTTGTATGCAGTTCCCAAGCTCTGGTGGAATAGTACCTACCAAGTTGTTCTTCCAGAGCAAGAGGTTCTGGAGGTTTTGAAGGTTCCCTAACCGGTTCGGAATTGAGCCGGTTAGGGAATTTTCGTATAGGTAGATGTTCTGAAGGGCGGTGCAGTCACCGACCTCCGGAGGGATTTGGCCAGAGAGGAGGGTGGTGTAAATGGCGATGGTCTCAAGTTTTTTCAGGCGGCCAAGGGAGGGTGGTAGGAACCCTGAGATGCTAGTCTCTGCCAGGCCTAACACGACCAAATTGGTGCAGTTCCCTATTTCTTGAGGTATTGAGCCTTCAAGGTTCTTGTTTCCACCACCTCTAATCACTTCAAGATTGTTCAAGTTCCCTATTGTGCTTGGAATTCCACCACTGAGTTGGTTGTCATAGACTGTCAGCCACTGCAAGCTTGTGAGGTTTCCAACTTCATCTGGGATTGATCCTTCAAGTCGATTTGAGTTGAGAAAAAGTTGTTCAAGCTTTGGCAAGTGACAGATTTCACTTGGGATTTCACCAGTTAATGCATTGTCACTCAAGTCTAAGTAAGTCAGTTCCTGAAGAGAACCAATCTCTCTCGGGATTGAACCCGAGAGGTTGGTCCCCGAGAGCACGAGCTTATTCAATGACAACAGTGAGCTGAAATTGTAAGGAACGCTTCCTAGCAAATCCACATACCTCAAATTCAACTCCACAACTTCCTTATTAAAGTTGCAAGAGATGCCAAACCACCCACATGGAGTCTCATCCGTGAAATCCCAATTACTCAACGCCTCCAACGACCCGTTCAAGCTTCTCTTCCAAAAGAGAAGCGATTCGCCTTGTTGATTGACGGCAAAAACAGGTACAAAAAGTGAAAAAGAGAAAGCTAGGAGGGAGAAGAAGAGTGTCCATGGATTAACAGGCATTCCAACTGCTATGCTACAAACTCCAATGACACAGAAAAGAAGGTGTTTGAGTCTAGGGAGGAGGAACAATGAGAGAAAAACCAAATCATGCTTGGTGGGCTATGGTTTTTAAGTTAGGGAGGTATATAATAAATTGAAAGACCCAGAATCTCCGGATCCAAGAACAGCTAGGCCATGATGTTTTTGCAGAGAGAAATGGAATTTTAGATTTGGGTTTGTTTTTGGATTTGTTTATGGTGGAGATGAGGTTGTGGGTGGGGAGGGAGGTGACTGGTTTTTTTTAAATGAAAGGTACACATGATGGGTGACCAGTGACTACGCCCATAATTTTTTTAGTATGAACTTTTATGGCTTCACATGTGACCTTCACATCCTGTAACTTTCCTTAGTTTCATGCCCTATTGGATTTATTCACAGGAACTTAATAGAATTTGTTTAGAAAATTATCTGCAGCCTATGGATTTTTACAATTCCATCATATTCTGCCTACTAGTTTTGAGGAACAGGACTCCAACCTTGTATTTCTGGCTTTTGCTTGCTTAGGTTTTGTTTGGGAGTTCACTGTTCAGAAAAGAAAAGAAAGGAAAATTTAAGGAATAAGGATAGAGAATAAAAGAAAAGAAAGGATGAATTTTTCTTTTCTTTTCTCCTCATTTCTTCCCATAATTGAGATGATGATAAACTGTTTTTTTTTTTGTATTATTGTTAGAAGTGTTCGAGCCAACTTACGCGCAAGATATTTAAGCTCTTATTTGCTGATTGAATGTTTAACAATGGTATAGAAAGGGAGCCTTGCTCAACTCTATATGCTTCATGTCTTTGAGTGAATTTTGATCTTATGTAACATATGTACAAGTATTTGAATATCCAATTGGCACAAGATGTGAAGAGAAGATAATTTGAATCTAGATCTAAAACTATGCAAAATAAAAAAGAGTCCTGGATGCATTATGCATATGAGCATGCTCCAAATTTCATAAGCAGATCTAGGACAACATTTCAGCTATGAATCTTAATATAAAAGGGTAGTTAAAATGGCAGTACTTAGACACCAATCACATTTGTAGATCAATAAATAATTGGCAATACAAATTCCTACTCATATATCCTAACATGCCAAGATTTGTAGTGGTGAAGAGGCAAGTCAATGGATCATATTTCAATGAGTTAATTCGAAGTCGAATACGAAAATATTTACATCATAGTTTATGAATAGAATTTGTTTGACTATATNTAGTGGTGAAGAGGCAAGTCAATGGATCATATTTCAATGAGTTAATTCGAAGTCGAATACGAAAATATTTACATCATAGTTTATGAATAGAATTTGTTTGACTATATATGTATTGGATCTGATTGTACTTTAATGTGAATATTGTGCATACATATATGATAGACATAGAGTGATTATGTCATTAGATTAACTTGAAATTCATTTGTAGTTTGACAAAATTAAGCTTTGATTAAGTTATTTAGCTAATACATTTTTTAACCAGACTTTTGATTTTTTATGTATTTTGAATTTGAAACTAATCAAATTTGAAACTATTTTTTAGAAAATCAGCAATCGACACTATATATATGTATATGTATATATTTATATTTATATATAACAAATATTTTTTGTATAAGAGGGCTTGAGAAATTTTTTCTACTCAAATGCTTAATTTTTAGAATTTTAAAATATTTAATTAATCCATTCCAATCAAATTGTTCTATTTAGCTACTCCATCCATTTTTTGTAACTACTCTCACTATCTTTTTAAACTATTTCAGATTTAAATTTTTACTCATCTTTCTTCATTTTTTCATATTTAATAAATTTTATTTTAATCCATTAATGACTATTTTTTCAATAATATGAGGGTTAAAAAAAGGGTGAAACAAGCTGGCGAAAAAAGTAAATTTCGTGCATTGCACGGAGCGCCGACGATATAATATATAGTAATATTATTTAGACTTAATTTATTGACTTAATCCCTCACGACCATTAGACTGGTTGTGGGTNGCATTGCACGGAGCGCCGACGATATAATATATAGTAATATTATTTAGACTTAATTTATTGACTTAATCCCTCACGACCATTAGACTGGTTGTGGGTTCAAAAAATACTGTGATCTACCGTTAATTCAATGATTATGAATGATTAAATCAACAACTTAAATTCAAGAAGCATTGTCCTATAATATATGAATCCGATTTAATATAAAATGCAAGCAATCACGTGATGTCGCGTGACAACAGGCTGTGCTGAGAATATCATTTGGTTTGCTTCCAAGGTATATAAATGTGTGTTAGTCCACATAATGCTTGGTTCGTGATATTATTTTACTTAAAATTATCTTACAAGGGTTTGGTTTAAGAATCTAAGCACGAGAGGATGGGAATAGCACATGAGAGGGGAGAGAGAGAGAGAGAGAGAGAGAGGGGCATGGTGTAGGGCAGCTTTTGGGTGTGAGGTCTTTATAATATAGATGGCATAGAAGAAGAGACAAGCACAACCCCATCAAAAGTAGAGAAGTATCTACTTCAACATTACTCACAGCTTTGACGTAGACATTAAGCTTTTGCCCCCTCAATTAGTTCATCTCTCCCTCTCCTTCTATCATTGTTACCACTAATCTTATCAAAGAGATGATATATAAATTGTGAAACAAAGCAAAAAAAATATATACAACAGACAAGATTAGGGGTCACAGTTGTGTCGTTTTAAGCCGTGACACTTCGTGTTTGTGTCAAGCACAGGTTAATCTTAATCCAATCAGTTTAATTAATCGTGTTGTATAGTGTCGACCTATTTATTTTTGTGTCTTATTCGTGTTAATCCATATAACCCGCGAGTAAAAAATTTAACGCTTAGTTTTATGTCTAAAATTTCATTATCACTTAATTGAACCGGTGCTCATATTTTTTTTATAAACTAAAAATTAACTTAATAAATTTAACAATAAAAATTAGTAAAAATATCTTCTTCTTTTTTTTTGTACAAGAATTAGGTCACTATTTGATAAAAATTTGACATTTTATTCTTATAATATTAATTAAACGTGATAATTATGTCAATTTAATGTTGTTCGTATTTGACACTAACTTAACTCATTTATTATTCGTATTAATTGGTCGAGTTATATACGTATTCGAGTTGAGAAATTATCAACTTTAACTTGTTAATTTTTTATCGATTTTAATTATATTTTTATATTATGTTAGAAATTGTCAATCCTAAACAAGATTACGTGCACCGATTTAGTTTGTCGTTAAAAAATAAATTTGTTGTAGCGATGGTTCAACTCAAAAACTTACATTTATGGGTTAATCAAAATGGCAAAAGTGATCAAAAGTAGTTCTCAAATACAAGAGCAAAGAGAACAGATTCTGAACTAAGACCTTATTCCCGATAAGAGAAAATGTCCAATCCTTGTGAAGATTAAGTTTTCAATCCTTGGTCGGATAAGATTTTCAAATAACATTTTCAGCGCGGCAATCATGTTGTGTCGAGTTGTGTTATTTCGATTTCGTATTAAGTATTAGTCAACTCTAATCTAACCCGTTTAATTAATTGTGTTGTCTCGTATTGACTTATTTATTTATGTGTTGTGTTCGTATTGACTCATATAACTCGTAAATAAAAAATTCGACGCTCAATTTATGTCTAAAATTTTATTATCACTTTATCGAATCTATGCTTATATTTTTTCTATAATCTAAAAAATTAATTTAATAAATATAATAATAAAATAAGATATTATAATAAAAAATTGATATTTTTTTCTTATAATATTAGTTAAACGTGTTAATTGTGTCAATTTCGTGTTGTCGTGTTTGACACTAACCCAACTCATTTATTATTCGTGTTAACTAGTCGTGTCATATACAGGTTCATGTCAAGAAATAATCAACTCTAACCTGTTAATTTCTTATCGATTTCAAATTATATTTTTGTATTATGTGAAAAATTACCACCCCTAAATATTTGATTCCACTTGAATCGATTCTTAGAAATGATTATCCATAGAAACTATGCCCCCAACGAATATAAAATTAAAAAAAAAATAAAAAAAATTATGTCCCATTGAATAAGAATCAGAATTGAAAAAATCCCATCAACACAAACTTGTATTTACATCACAATAAACAAATCATTGCATGCATGGTAGGGTAGGCCCATCCACACCCAATTCTAGAAGTTTTAAACATGGTCGTTGATGACCCGTAGTGACCTTATAAATAGGCTTCATCCAAAAATGTGTTTAGCTCTTTGATATTGTCCATGCTCATTTTCATCAAACTATTTCCTATTTTGTTTAAACTTTAAAGTAAGTTTGCAGTGTCACATCTGTGGTGGCCCACAGACTGAATCAGGGCCATGAGATGGGCCTAGGAGTTGGGCTAGTGGCGGGAGAATGGGCCCCAGGCTAGGGATTGATTTTTTGTTATGGAAGAATTGGTTGGGGTATGGTCGAGAACTTATTTGTCTTAAAAGTATATACTCTGGACTTTTCGGTCATTAACTTCTCATGCTCCTAAATATTTGGTGACTAAGGTACACATTTATAGTTTTACATATCATAATTGCTCTGACCTTAATTCATGCATGTCAGACTTGGTAGTTTTCTTATTTTTTGAATCTGTTTTATTAGATAAGAAGTTTCTAAATTTTAAGGGATTAAAAAACCGTTTGAACGTTGAAATGATGCTCTCAAAATTATTCTCAGCCATTGATGAATTTTCTTTTTTTCCAATAAGCCATTGAATCAATTTTGTTTTCATAAGCGTTAATAACGTTTTTGTGCTAATAAATGTCAAGATCGAATTATGTGATAAATGAAGTCTCACAACTTTCTTCAATTCCCACACAGAAAATCATGGCATTAGGTTCAAAGTTTTCTTTCATTCATTTTGTGACGACAAAGAGTGACTTCAAGGGTGTACAAATTCCAAATAAAAATGGTGTTGCATACAAATAGATATATTAGATAGTGTGACAACAAAAAGTGTAATCACTTTGCAAAACTAAGGGGTATTGCATTCAAATAGAGATACTAGATAGTGTGACAACAAAGAGTGACTTCAAAAATAACAAAAAAAAAAAAACAAAAAAAAATAGTTTCACCTTCAAATAGAGTTATTAGAGAGTGTAACAACAAAGTGTGACAAAATGAGTTCTGATTTTAGAGAGAGAATAATTTCTAACCTTACGATGTTCAAAGAGTGAAAATTTCATTCACATTTTTAACGCACAGAGTGATTTCATTCAATTAAGTTGCATAGGTTGAATGTTGAGATACATATCACATGTATATTCCAAGTTATCATGGTGTGACTCTATAATGTGACACACGCGTACACTAAATATTTATGTTAAAAACAAATTGAATAACAGTTGATGATCACCGATAATGGAGAAAATTGATGCTTCATACAATATTTCATTCAAAATGCAGA